TTTGTACTTTTATCTATGCAAAAATAGTTCAAACATTGGAAAACAGTTAAAAATTTCACGCACCAGCGCATAAAAGCTAGACTCGAAACCTTGAAGGGTGAATATCTTTCCGTGATTCCTAAGTTAATAGTTTACCCGCCAAAATTTTCACAAGGCCGTAGGTGGTACCTGAGAGCGCGAGAACGCTGAATTTGAATGGGCAAGGTTGAGCGAGGGCAGGGGGTCATTCCCCTAAAATTTCAGCCTCCTATACTTCGTGGTTCTTGAAATATTAATTTACCCGTGAAGAACTCACGGGGCCGTACGTGTTACCCGCGGGTAAGGGAAGGCTGAGTTTGAATGGGCAATGTTGAGCGTGGGCAGGGGGTAAATCTATTTGGTCTGGTCGTTCAAAATTTCATTTTATTGCGACGATTTCAACAAATGGGAAAGGCGTACTACTCTTATATGCAATATTCATCGTTTATTAGGCCTAGAATTGAAAGGGCACAACCCTACAACACTGAGAATTTTTTTAAAATTTTAATGCTAGCTTGGATATTTGTTGATTGTCAAAGCATTCGGCAGTGAAGGCTGATTTTAGGCCTTTCTGTATGCTTGGGTACCTCCGAGTTATTAACTTCTTTTATTCTTAGGATTCGTTAGTGCTATGCCAGCAACTGCAAGAGCAAGATGGATATGATTTTATGAATGAGAATATGGATTTAACGCCGTATTTGGACGATCTTCGATGCATCGATGATGCGAACGAGGATCTCGACCCGATTATCGAGAAGCAGAAGATTATCGAAAGTGACATCGATATGAACCAGAATCATCCTGATTACCCTGCACACACCTCGCAGTACACTGTTTTGACATCCTTCGGTAAGATTCCCGTCAGATCATCAGTAGCAGTCCAGAGAGCGTGTGTTGCTGATGTGATCATGCATTTTTGCGCACTTCCATGCACCAATAAGATCGTTAACAGTATGAACGGCGGGTTGAAAATGTTTCTTGTTGGTCTTTTCGTGCTGTAAAGCGAGGGAGAAGCAAGAGGTTACTGGCCAATGCTCACATGTTATTTGGTTGTTATGCGTTTTGTGCTGTGCAACAGTGTTACAAAACGCATATTGTAACGGGGTTGACTGTGTGTGTGTGTGTTTGTGTGTATGTCTCACATTTTGTCCCGCACTTTCAATTCGGGAACCACAAAAGCTAGGCTGTTGAAATTTTGACATAGTGTTCCCCGCCAACGGGTGACGCGGCAAATTTGAATTCAGTCTTCCGTTACCCGCGGGTAACACTTGCGGCCCCGTGAGATTTTTTTGCGGGTAAATTATCTCGGGAACCACGGGG